AGAGCCACCTTTTGACACCTCATTTTCTTAATAAAAACTTGGTGTTACTTACTTTGTTTAGGATGTGACACAATTTAATGTCTGTGATTAGTGATTTAATAGCCTGTGATTATTGAATTAATTGTCAGATTAAAAAGTATTTTTTACAACTAGAGAATGTTCAGGGTTTATGTTATTAGTAGACAAGCAAGTCAGCAAGCAGCACACTATGATCAGAATAAGGTTTTTTTGTTCATTAAGCAAAGAAATGTGGCAGTTTCTTGCATGCAAGCATCCAGAGATCTGCCTCTCTTTTTGGCTTTGCTGAAGACTGGCAAAAATCACAATGATAAAACCAACAGAAGTTTTGCTGCTAACTTCAGTGGGATCCAACACCAACCATCTATGGCACAATTAACTAACCTGTGGTGAACTGGTTAAAGAGGCTCTTTCCTCGTAGTTTATTTTCCCTTTAAGCATGCCAATTCAGCACTATGCAAGGCTGTGCCCCATCAGAAAAAGGAAACAGATTATGAAAACAAACACATACTGTTTATGAATGAATCCTATCTAAGTATGAGACTATGCAAACACTTGAACTGGCACATCTGAAGGAATTATTGGGCGGAGAGAGAAAAAAAGCATATTTAGGTGGCTATGTTGTAAAAGACTTGTATCAAGGAACTGTACCACCCATTTTTCTGTGCATCATTTTTTCCAATTTGAAGAATGAGAACAGGACTTGCCTCCATCTCAGAGGTGTTACAGAGTTTAATTAATGTTTGCAGAGGGCTCTCACGGTTTTGTGTGAAGATGCTGTAGTGATACAAATTACTCAGTAAACCAAACAATTATAGCACTCTGTTAAAACTACATGATTTCACAGCCTTGAATTTTTAAAATAACAGAAAATAACATTAGGCAGAAAGCCTTCCATCTAGGAATTAGGGTTTGCCATTATTTCCTCTCTAACTGATAAGCAGAATGTTTTAAAAACCACCATAAATCTCAGAGGATAACCCAGTGCCATTTATGCATGGTGTACCTGCAGATTATCCAAGATGGATTTCTCATTCCAAAGAATTCACAAGCTCTATGGGTAAAGTCAAGAGAACTCATGCATGGGTCATTTGCTTTCA